ATGGTAGTTTTTTTACAATTTGGAGGTTTCAGGAGAAAAAAATGGCTGCCTATGCAATGACGACATTCAATAAAGGGAGTGGTAGCACTGCGTCGGATATTATCAGTCGCCAATTCATTTCATGAAGTTGGGACTGGTCCAAACAGAAGCGCTGAAGAACGGCTGTCGCTGTTGGCCAAAGAAATCGCCCTTGGTGAGACCGGCCATAGAGATCAGAGACTACAAACGCCATCGCTACGGCAAAGTCGATCAGTGGATTCAGCACCCAAAATCTCTGGGAGTTTTCCCGAATGCAAAAAGCGAGTAATAGTTCTTTTAAGCAAAGTAAAGTTTGCAGATTTTTCACATTCCTGGGTAGTTTATCGCAAATAGCAATTGTATTTCCAGAAAAGAACCGACAATATTTAACGGTACGTTCCAGAGGAAGAAATAAATAGACCTCACAGTGACTGTTACGTCAGGGGCGGACAAGGTGTCTTATAGTAAAGAGTGGGCTAAATATTAAAATCACCAACAAAAAGGGTATCTTTCTTCTCACTGACTTTGTACAATCCGGTTATGAGCATGATATCCTAGTCAGAAGTATGGTTAGATGAACGGTACACCACCGAAAGAGTCAGTGAGCGGACATTCTTAGCAGATATGTTAACGCTTAACAGTTCCACCTTCCGTACCAGACTATGAGCGTCAGCCATAGCGGTCAGCTTGCAAGTGAAATAAATTATGACTCCTCCTCCACCTCCTCGGCTTAATCTGTCTCTCCTGAATTGCTGATATCCTCTAAGTGATAATTTTGAATCTACGATACCTTAAGTAGGCCACGCTTCTGTGAAAGCCATGTCTGGCTTGATTTCATCAACTAAGTATTTTAGTTTGTCTAGTTTGTTCAAGAGTCTCTGTACAATTTCGGAGCAGTCAGGTTGAAAAAGTGCCGGGTTTAGTGCCTTTTATCCTAAGGCACTGATGAAAAATCAGCCTGGATTGCTCCTACACCTACTGTTAGAAAATCTTGTTCTTTTGCTTTTAAGATAAGAATAAGTAGATCCAGGGCGAAGGAGCAACTTACCAACCGATTTTCTGGTGTAACTCCCAAAATCGGTCCCTATATCTCCTTTGCGATTATGCTGTCTTGGAAAGCATCCGGACTAGTCATCTGATATGGTTCGCTCCTTGCGGAACTTGTTAGGCCTGTCTATCTTTCCCCCCTCGATACAGCGAAGGTCACGCGCAGATCTTATCAAAACTTGCAACATTTAGGGTGCAAATACAGGTTCCTTCTACCAACAGATTTACGCTCCTTATCTACGTTGCTGTTCAACCTACTTTACAAGCGACACCCACATGCCCTAAGTAATGTTGCAGGTAATAACTGAGCGTCTTTTCACGAGCTTTCGAGTTCGGGTGCACAAATGATATTTAAAGCATTACAAAATGCATTTCCATTTGAAACGGAAACCGTCCAGGGAGAAAAATTCAGTTAAGTTTAGTTTATTGAGAGAAATAGGCGTGAGCCATTGAGTACCCTATGTGCAACGTAAATATATGTGGCGTACAGAAAAATGTTCCGGGCTGAAATAGTTCTGATGAGCCCATGATGGTAGGACAAAATGGGAGCGAGTTACAGGGGATGAGCTCGAGCTCTCATCGCCCTTGGTCATTTCGAAATATGAATAGGTCGAGGTTCTTTTTAAAGCTTTGCATAAATGGTGACATCAAAAAATCTGTAGGAACGGCATTGCATTGTTTGACCACTCGAACCGAGAAGGAGAAATTCCATACACCCAGCCTTGCCTGCCGAATGGGCAATTTAAACTGGTGATCTTGGGTGTTGGTCGTGGTGGCAAATTCAAAAAGTCCTCGAATGCCAGGCTGCAGTCCAACCTCTTTACCATGCGGAATGATTGCAAGAGACCCGCGATGTCGCCTATAAATCGAAGAGAAGAGGTCAGCTTTACTAGGCGGGTTGCATAAGCAAAGGAGCATTGACTCCTAACCATCTTCGTGGCTCTCATCAGAGCTCTCTCGAGGCAGTTTTGATCCTCAACCTCCCACGGTCTCCAGGCTTGTGTGCCGGACTCCAAATGCGGCCGGACGAATGTTCCGAATGTCTTTGAGAAAGCATCTTGGTTAAAATCCATAAACACACGCTTGATGGCGTACGGTACGGACATTGCGCTTTTTGTCACTCTCGAACAGTGGGCGGATGGCTTTAGGGAACTCGTCGTCAGCACACCGAGGTCTTTTTGGGCTTTGACCACTTTTAAGGCTGCACCGCCCAGAAAGTAGTCTCCTTTGCTGGCAGATCTGGCGAAGTATGCTACATTTGGCAACGTTGAACCGCAGGCACCAAAGGTTTGACCACTCCTCCAACCGATTCAGGCTCACCTGCGGTCTGTCTTTGTCGGCAGGACCCCGAATTACACTCCATATCTTCATGTCATCGGCAAACATTGATGCTTCGCAGTCTAAAGCTCTTGCGGCATCGTCCTCATATATAAGGAACAAAATGGGTCCCAGTACTGAACCCTGTGGGACACCACTCTCGACCACAGCAGGGTCTGATTTCCCCCGGCCGATGCACACAACCTGATGTCGACCCAAAAGGAAGTTTTCGATCCATTTAAGGAAGTTGTCACCTATTCCTATTTCTTCTAGTTTATGTAAGAGCCTCTGGTGTGGCACAGTGTCGAGCGCCTTCTGGAAGTAGATGAAGGCTATGTGGACCGCGTGGCCGTTGTCCAGATCTGGGGTCCAGCTCTGGAGAGATTGTAGCAAGCTTGTCGTGCAGGATCTTCCCTTCCTGAACCTATTTTGGCATTTCGATAGCAGGCAGTGAACTTCCAGGAAATGCATCAGTTCACTCTTTATGATCATTTCCATAACATTGCAGACAATACACGTTAAGCTTATGGGCCTGTAGTTTGTCGTCGGTGCTCTGCTACCTCCCTTGTATAGCGGAGTAATATCGATAGGAAGTTTTCCAGTGTCAAATGACGTTTGAAAGAGCATAGACAGAGGCACAGAAAGCTCACTGTCAAGTTCCTTCAGAAGCTTGGTTGGAATCTCGTCTGGTCCTGGCGACTTCGATTCGTTCAATGCCTATAATTCTCTCCGGACAATGCCTTCTGAGAAGAGTATAGTACTGACGCTTGGGGTCCGCAGTTCTTCTGTGGAGGGAGGAAGGAACCTTGCCTCGTTTGTGTAGACTAATCGGAAAAAATTTGAAGAACACATCGCTTTATCCCTACTATCAGCAATCTCAACGCCATCGGTAGTCCGTACTAAGGGGGTTTGATGACCTCGTCTATGCTGTCTGGTAATTTCGTTAAAACCGTAGCCAGGGAGTTCATTTTTTGTCCTTCACGTGTTCTGGTTGGAAACAGTACATGTTGTGTGAGGAGCGCCCTTAGCGCTTTGTTCAACAGACGGTAATCGAATGTCGATTTTTGACCTGACGCTTGGAGCGTGTTCCAGTTAATGCCTAGTGCGTTGAAGTCACCCATGGTCATGATGTTAGGTCGACTGGAAAATTTCCTCAAATGCTTCAAAATACGAGTGCTTGAAGCAGTAGACATAGTCTTCCATACCTGTAGAGCGATGTCTATTTTCATTTTTTTCATTTTCATTTTGCTTAACGGACTTCTAATCTCAAAAACTATGCATTGCACTTTGTGCAGATTTTGCCTACATCGTCTAAAATTTGCATGTAAATTTATTTTTACTTGCTTTGATGGGACCCCGACGGGTCTTTAATAAAATAATTGAATTGAATTGATTATTTTACGAAGTGGGCTGAGGCCATCCCCTTACATCGACAAGACGCAGCTTCGGTCACCAATGCGCTGCTAAAGGAATGGGTCTGTCGATACGGCGCACCCTTTTCACTTCACTCCGATTGCGGAGCCAACTTCGAAAGCCACCTTCTGCGCGAAGTCTGTGACCTGCTCCTCATCCACAAGACTCGAACTACACCAACCCACCCAGAAGGCAATGGCCAGGTGGAGCGTACAAACCGAACCATCATTAATATCTTGAAGGCTTTCGCCGAGGGCCACCACCCACACGATTGGGACGTGAAATTGCCCTTCGCCATGATGGCCTACAGAGCCGCCATTCACTCTTCAACGGGCCACGCCCCATTCTATATGTTGACTGGCCGCCAATTCCGACTACCGGCGGACTCGAACGTCCCTGCGCAGCAACCGACGGCCTATACAACCGACAACTATGTGATAGAGCTACAGGAGCTACTAAGACTCACGCACAACCTGACCCGCACACAACTCCGCAACGCCTACGACAGGCAGAAGACCTATTTCGACCGCCGGGCCCACGGGCTCCCCTACCACATCGGCGATTTAGTGCTCCGCTATCGGGCGGTTCCGCCTGTTGGCACACCGGCCAAATTCTTCCATCCGTGGGAAGGACCGTTCGTGGTCACCGACGTCATTTCGCCCACTACCTACATTATCCGCGACGCCCTCACCCATGCCGGCCCCACCTTCACTGTACACTTCGACAAGTTAAAACCTTACCACGGCAGTCTTCCCGTAGCGTCCCACGATACCCTACACATCCCCCCTCCCCATTTAGTCCCCTCGCCTACCAATGAAGTGGAAGTCCCTCCCGACCCACACCCCCCACCAGGCCCCGAGGACGGGGCACTGCCTAGAGGGGGGGGGGCAGTTGTAACAGATACACTTGAACGGTTGTTTTAATAGGCAAGGGCGCTAGTTTTGATAGCAAGGGTGCCTGGTGTCTGGACACTATATGTCTGCATTCTCTTGTGTTTCAGTTGAGGTGCACGAGGAGGAAGACTCCCCCTCCCCGGTGGCAGCATCCAACTCCACCTTCCCTGGACAACTGTGAAACTAACGTTTGTTGGACTATTAGATTCCTCCCTCTGTTTTGCCCTCGTTTACGTTCCCCTTTTTGCCCTTCCTCAATAAACCTTGGAGTACTGCGCGGCTTATCGTGTGCATGAGGATTGTTATTCGATAATGAACACTTGGAAGGACGATCCTAACGGTTCGCAAATTGGACAGAGTGCCCCAGTTCCCGCCGCTCCGTCTCAGGCGACCCAGAAGGACACTAGTGAACCCTCGGCCACCGAACCACTATCGAGGTCGGACGCTACAGGTCTTCAGAGGACTCGGGTAGGTTTACATAGAATTGACCAATAGATATGCGGAAATCAAAGTTCAAGAATAAAGAAATTAGGCCGTGGCCTATAGGATCTTCTGGCCGTTATAATGGGTATTCTGGCTGTCGACTAGTCTCTGCAGTATCGCAGATAGGCAAAACGAAATAACCAATGGTCAAGCAAAAACTTTTGACCTAGTTTGGCGTGATACAATAGGATTAACGGTTCAAAATGCCCTAGAACTATAGGATTAGATAATATAAATGGCGAACTTGCACGTGCCAGCCTATGGGAACGTCGGCCATTGTACTAGCGATCTGCTAGCAAGCTTAGCCTAAATAGCAAAATTGGAAACACATTTGCCCGATCTTTACAGGTCGCATTTTAAGCTGCAGAAAAAGTTGGCCGAAAGGAAATCAGACGAAGGCTTCCTATAGAGTTGCGGCTGGGGTGGTGCTTTCGGGCACTGTCGAGAAATACGAACTTAACGATCATCAGCTAAGATGTTTATGTACATGCTGACACAATTGAGTTAGTGGCGGAGAGTTGCGTCTGCCACGTATCTATTGATGTCTTCGTATTACTTCATTTACTGTTGTAAGAGCTGACTCTTTCCTTTTTAGATAAAAATGGAGAGATCAAGGGTTTACCAAACTAAAGAGAATTACCATGACCTAGACGACGTAAAAAATTAACCCTAAGGAAACCAACATGAAAGAAAATGACCTCTGCTGTTCTGTTTATATGGCAGAAAAAATAAATAGACATCGCTCTACAGGTATGGAAGACTATGTCTACTGCTTCAAGCACTCGTATTTTGAAGCATTTGAGGAAATTTTCCAGTCGACCTAACATCATGACCATGGGTGACTTCAACGCACTAGGCATTAACTGGAACACGCTCCAAGCGTCAGGTCAAAAATCGACATTCGATTACCGTCTGTTGAACAAAGCGCTAAGGGCGCTCCTCACACAACATGTACTGTTTCCAACCAGAACACGTGAAGGACAAAAAATGAACTCCCTGGCTACGGTTTTAACGAAATTACCAGACAGCATAGACGAGGTCATCAAACCCCCTTAGTACGGACTACCGATGGCGTTGAGATTGCTGATAGTAGGGATAAAGCGATGTGTTCTTCAAATTTTTTCCGATTAGTCTACACAAACGAGGCAAGGTTCCTTCCTCCCTCCACAGAAGAACTGCGGACCCCAAGCGTCAGTACTATACTCTTCTCAGAAGGCATTGTCCGGAGAGAATTATAGGCATTGAACGAATCGAAGTCGCCAGGACCAGACGAGATTCCAACCAAGCTTCTGAAGGAACTTGACAGTGAGCTTTCTGTGCCTCTGTCTATGCTCTTTCAAACGTCATTTGACACTGGAAAACTTCCTATCGATATTACTCCGCTATACAAGGGAGGTAGCAGAGCACCGACGACAAACTACAGGCCCATAAGCTTAACGTGTATTGTCTGCAATGTTATGGAAATGATCATAAAGAGTGAACTGATGCATTTCCTGGAAGTTCACTGCCTGCTATCGAAATGCCAAAATAGGTTCAGGAAGGGAAGATCCTGCACGACAAGCTTGCTACAATCTCTCCAGAGCTGGACCCCAGATCTGGACAACGGCCACGCGGTCCACATAGCCTTCATCTACTTCCAGAAGGCGCTCGACACTGTGCCACACCAGGGTGTCCAGACACCAGACACCCTTGCTATCAAAACTAGCGCCCTTGCCTATTAAAACAACCGTTCAAGTGTATCTGCTACAGACCCTATAAAAACCGAGGGCGACTGACGCTAAAAACCCTGGACCAGCGGACGCCTTCTGGACGCCATTGCTGATCCTGCTTGGCCTCTGTAGCCCGGACCCGACAAGCTTTGCCTCTAAACGAGCCTGTCCGTCCAATAGGATATCCCCGTGTTCTCGATTTCGCCCGAAACTGACCCCATTTTTTCGTCATTATAAATAATCCACAAACTCCTCTTAGGAAGCAATCTTTTCTTCTCAAAGGAGAAAAGAAGGGACTCTACACGTAGCCTCCCCAGCTCTCTCTCTCTAGTTATGATCTTTACAGACGAAGCATACCGTTAAATCTTTGCAGTTAGAATAAGTCCAACGAGATGCGATGGTTGACAGCTCGAGGTCCCCCAAATAAAAAGTCGGGAAACAGAGGTAATTGAACATACTTTGCTATAACAAGAAGGCGTTCACGAAACTCAGTAGGTAGTTGTAGCATGCCGTCCCTATCGGTCGAAATAGGATTGTTGGGGTTCTAAGCACCGGCATGAAACGAATGAGGGTTTCCGGCTTTCACGGCTATGGACAACCAGCAAACAACCTGGCGTCGATTGGTCGTTAGCTCTCGCCACTCTAATATCGACTCATGCGCGACTCAATCAACCGATTGACAAGGAGTAAGCGGACTGATGGCAGCATGGGTAAACGGCCGCGCTGGCCATCACCTGAGCAAATTGTCACAGATCTTCGTGATAAAGGACACACTCACTGCCTCTTACACCGCGACTGGTTTGCGGAAGGCCCTGACGCTTTCTATGATATAGATAAGGCAAATTAATTTTAGCCAGTCTGGCTTCAGAGGACAAAGCTCCAAGACTTTCCTCTATCTTTAAGACCCTCACCTAGACCGTCTTTAGGGTTTGGTGTTCGTTCTAAAGCTAATACCGCCAGGCCTAAGCAACATGCTCTAAGTAAGGCCAAACCAATGATCCACAATATTACTGATCAATTTGTACAAAATTTCCTCACTACGAATATCACCCTTGTCGTTCGCTGATCCCCGTGCATGCATTGTGCTTTAGTGTAGGCGAAGTGGTCGTCAGAAGACGGTCCTCCGGTTCCTAAACATTCGTAACTGGGGTCCTTAAGTAACGTATTGAAACGAATTGGTTTACTCGCTCGATCGTCTAGTTCGAAGTCTAAGTGTCACACACCTCTCACTGTTAACCTTTAGGAGCCAACGAACGGAGCAGCTGCTTGGCCGGCAGAGAATCCACAGATGTGTGCTTTATCTGCGCCATACTTGACGATTCTTTAGAGTTTAACATAGTCAGCAAACATGCCAAAGCTGCAACCTAGGTTATCGACAGTCGTTGATTCGGACTAGTAAGAGTTACAGTTCAAGTGCTGTGTTGTGGGATATGACTGAAAATATAGATATGTGTAGGTTTTGAGGCGTTAACGCGCTCTGTGGACGGTCTTCCTATAACGGACTCTGTGATCCAGGTCAGCAGGTCGTATTCAGGAAAGTTTGTTAATTGGACGTTTTTCTGGAGTACTTTCCAAAGTCTTCCTAAAATCCCCACGGGTGACGTCGATCACTTTCCATTCCTCTGTGCTCCTCTTACCTTTACCCCTTGCCCTTGGCTTTTGGCAGTTAAAATAATCGTGATCTTCCCTGCATGTTATCCCATTAATAACAGTCCATTTTACAAGAAATTACTGACAGTTGAAATGCAGACTTTGGACTTAATACACTCACACTTTTTTGGGGCTGCGAAAAATTTATTCACGAAATTGCGGATCTTGAATACATTTCAGGCCTGATAATCTTCCTCGATTTACGCAATTTTCCATAGTCCAGCCGTTTGTTTGAACGCGTGTGTCGTGCAGGAACCCATGCTTCCAACTCGCTTCATTCCACGTGGTGTCGGCGTTCTGCTCATGTCATTCTGTATGGCGCTCCTGGTCGGTCACGGCGGGAAAGTCTCGTTCTGCTCTATCGGCTGAAGGCCTTTGTAGTTGATCGCATTAATATCCACTTGTGCGGCAGGTATGTACTACACCCGGTTTGTCGTATTTTGTCTGAAAATGATGGTTTACCATCTTTCGACTGAGTAGCTGCTGTAAGACTACATACTGAGGTTACATCTTAGCACCAAAGACTTTTCTTTAGCCCCTTCTAACTTAGATTTTATTTAGGTGAGCGAGGAAGGCTTCACACGTAAACGGCGGTTAATTGCGAACCTTTAAGGTAAGCTCTCAATGATGGTTACCATCTTTCGACTGACTAACTGCTGTCAATTACTTACTGAGTTTTGCTTAAATCCCAAGTTATGCTGACTTGTGCCATTATTTTTAGAGAACTTTCCGGCTCAAGAGTTAATCTGGTCTAAGATGTGATACCTTACGCTGTCTGCCGACGGTAAGTGCTACATGATGTCTTACCTACATTATCTTACCCGTGCCGAAGAAATTTATCCTGAGCGTAGCATTGGTTCTCATATGTCCTTTATTTCGTGTAGGTCCCTATCGGCGGTTACCAGTCCAAGCATGAAACAGGTGAGGGATTGTGTACGCACTTTGGAACCGTGCGTTGTTTGTGTTTGTTCCCCAGTAATCCTTAACTCCGTGTTTTTAACAATCTGCTTAGTGCATTGTGACCCACCAAAACAGCGCTTCACTTGGCTGAGGCGGTTATCGGCGGGTAATATCGAAGGCTATGGAAAACGGCTTGGTTTAAAAGCCAAGTCACCTGTCTGTAGCGACACGTCGCGTGTGCTATGGACGCATGTAAATGTCCATCTTCTTTTCGTCTAATAGTTTTTTTTTCATTTTAGGCGAGGCCAACTCCCGCAGCGTCTTGTAATGTCAGCAAATTCGAAGTACATTTTCCGAAAGCAAACTTTACAGAAAAGATTATGTGCATTTGTACAATAGTCCGCTGGACTGAATCGTTCATGTTTACATTGACTACTAATAAAGTGTTCTTAAGTAAGCGGGGACTTCGTGTGCGTCAGTTGAGTCCAAGGATGCTG